AAGTGCTGAGCGATAACTGTTGGTTTTGACAAATTTTCTATGCTTATATCTGAGAGTAACTTTAGGATTATGCTCATGGTGGTTTGTAATGTTTGATTTACAGAAACACCTGAAATTAGTCTAGCTGAAATGAAAAAGACACATGGTATAGATTAAACAATAAGAGCTATTCCATGAAGTCTGACCTTTTAAAAATGAGAAGTCAGAAAGGGTATAAATATTAGGCTTCTAATATATACATTCTTTTGTGTGTGAGAGCACTCATGGTGTGTACAGGTTGCATGTGGAAGCTAGAGGTTGATGTTAGATGTTTTCCTCAATTGCTCTTTACCTTCTTTTTCTAACACGGGTCTTTCACTGAACTTGGAGCTCACTGGTTTGGCTGGACTGGTTAGCTAATTAACACCAGAAATTCTTCTATCTCTGTCCTCTTAGCTCAAGGATTATAGAAACAGGCCTTCACACCCACTATTTCTTGTGGGTTCTAGGGATCCAAACACAGGTCAGCCTGTACAACAAGTACTTTACTAAGCCACCTCCTTCACACAATATATACATTTTTATCATGCATTATGCCACATCTACAAATATATATTGCCCATATATTGCATTAAGATATAGAAACATATCTGAGCTCAAATAAGGCCGAAACATTCTTCGAATTTCAAGGTATACAAACATCAAGTCAGAACTACTAAGAAACTCAAATGTTCGTTGATGATATTGTTTTGGAATATTAATTGTTGTTTCTATATTGTGAGAAACATCGTTATACTTCTAATATATTTCAATAACTTTTACAAATAACTTAAGTAATTATATCTATAAAATGATATCTACAAGACTGGAGATATGACTCAGTGGTTAAGAGCACTGGCTGCTCTCACAGAGGACCCTGTTTAGTTCCCAGCACCCACATGGTGGCTAACAACTGTCCTTATCACCAGTTCCAGAGGATCTGATGCCCTCTTCTGGCCTCTGTGGGCATTTCACAACACAAGTGCACTTAGCTACATGCTGGCAAAACAGACACATAAAATAAAATTTAATAAATAAATCTTAAAATGTTATTGACCTTTAATAAATATTTCAGTCTATTTTTTATTTAATATTTTTCCTGAAATATTAAACTGAAAATTTGAAAGTATGTTTTAGATAGTTTTGAATTAACTATCTAGTTAATCAATAGAGGAAAATGAGACCACTTCAGATTGAGCCTACCATACCGGATGTGTTTCGAGGAAGAGATGAACCACTATGCTAGAGCAAATTCTGAGTGGAAGGGGTGTTTTCTGGATAGTTATCACTCCAAATTCAAACTCTTTAAAACAGTATGTGTGTGTAAATCATTAAAAATGCAATGACCACTATGCTGGGTAGCTTTAGTGTCAACTTGACACACCAGGGTTGAGGGAGTCTCAATCAGGGAATTGCCTTCATTGGACTGGCCTGTGGCCATGTCTGAAGGGCATCTTCTTGATGAGTGATGTGGGAGGGCCCAACCCACTGTGGATGGTGCCACCCCTGGGAAGGTGGTCCCATGTTGCATAAGAAAGCAGGCTGAGCAGGGGCCAGGGGAGCAAGCCAGTAAGCAGCATCCCTCCATGGCCTGTGCTCCAGCTCCTGCCTCCAGGTTCCTGCCCTGAGTTCCTACCCTGGGCTCTGGGAGATGTAAGCCGAATAAACCCTTTCCTCCCCAAGTTGGTACTGGTCAGAGTATTTTGTCACAGCAATGAAGAAACAAATTAAGACAACCAGATTTCAGAAAACACTGGCATTTTAAGGGACAAAATACTTGCATCTTATATAATAATAATAAGGCCGTGTTATATGATTTCTATTTATAGTACCTTGGTTTAAGAAATGCTTTAATGCCCTCTAAATCCTTTTGTTGACTACCCAAATAAACTCCATTTAAGGCAACAAATAATAAAACATTCTTACGTCATGTTAGGGTGGGAAAAGACATATCGAATGAGTCAGCACATAAAATAGGTTTTCAAACCTGAGCTATAAAAATAATCTATAATCTTCTTGGATATGTGGCCTAGGTCTTATATTTTAATACAATCTTAGAAAAGAATATAGTCTTTATACATAACAGGAACTCAGCAGCTTGATATATAAATTAAAATTGATCACCTTTGTCCTTTTTTCAATGGTAACTTTGAATGCAAAGGATTCAAAAATCTATGGAGATATTAGTTACTAAAAAACAATAGGAAATATGAAAAAAATGGACTCTAGTATAAACATTTGAAAATAGCCCTGTTCTGATTTTTTTCTAACTCCCTGTCTAGAACTTGTAATTACTCTTGCCTTTACTTCTCCTTCACACCTCCTATTATTGATTCAAGGACTTTCTTCTCCCCTTAGAGACAAGAGTTAAGCAATTTGGGAGTCTTTTAAATAGACCCACTGAAGGGGTACTCCAATTGCCTCACCCTGCGT